ACAACTTGGAAGGCTATCCGCAACTCCGCGATATGCAACGGTTTCAAGGGACACTGCCCAGCGTCGGGTTACATTGTTTTAAGCTCAGGAGTATGCCGAGCTACCCGTGCGGGCTTCTGAAGATCATCAGGTCTCTGACGCTGGTAAGTGGGAGCATCAGCCGCCGCCGTGCATGACTGACGTCAACGACTCTGAAAGTCATCGGGGCTACTTCAACCTCTTTTCTGGACCCTTGCGCTACAGCAAGACACAATGGTGTGGTTCGCAGATCCTTTGAACACTCCTCGAGCAAAACCAGCATGCTGGCAATAAAATCTGAGGACCCTGACAAATGCGCTATGCAGGTCGGCTGCGAAAGGAATGGGGAAATGGCTGCAGAATGCGATGTGAAGACGGCATCGAGATGCAGTCGAGATCGATGGAGAGCACCCGCAATCGAGGGTTTATGTCAGGCTCTTGTACCAAACCTATTTGGGTTAAGCGGCATTCAGGGTCCAGCGGCTGACGTCTTTTCCCTACACTAGATGCGGATGGCCATCGTAGAATTCAGGTACCGGTACTTGTGAGTCTATGCCATATGCATATGTCAGCAAAAGATTTTACTGTAGACTGCCACCAATCTGGACCACGAACGAAGGTGTCAATCTGGGGCTAAAAGTAGCGGTACCACCCATGTCAGCGACCTGATACCTCATGTTTCTGGAACACCCCCTGTGCGTCCAACGGAGTCCAGACTGACCTCACACTTCCGACTTACAGTTCGACCCCGATTGCGCCGGCCGCACACTCTTTCAGTGTACTATTATTATGCATTTCAGTTTCGGGTCCTCGTTCATGATCTGAATAACCTATCATTCGAGCTTATAGTTCAAGCACTTGTGTACCACCAACCCGGTCCGGCGAAATCAGACTGTCCGTGCCGCTTCTCCTTTAACGATTCCTCATCTTTTACAAGGAGACGCCTTACACGCCGTCCTCTACCTTGTCAAATCTGAAACTGCCTGGATTGACCAGCCTTTCCCCCCCAAGAACTCTGGGATTTCGACGGTCTAGATATCAGTTGGGAAGTTTTTCACGTTTCGGTCGTTCTTGCCTATCTCAAGGATACCTCAACATCCAAAGCTCCAGCAGTACAACTTGTCGCATACGTTGGTCGCACTGGGTTCGTCCATTGCGCACGAAGCAATCAGCACCACGGAAAATACTGGTTGTCGACCATCCCCTTGCCGGCAAGTTCTTTCCTCTACGGCCCGTTAAGCACCTCAGATACAGGAGCATTGTCCCGAGTTCGGGACAAGAGCTTTGAATGCGTGGCTGTAACATTACAAGGGTTGATAACATTTATGGTATTCCAGCGAGAGGCTCGCGCTCACATCACAGTTCATGTCCTCTACCAGCGCGGAGGATGCTATTGTCGCTGCCGCACCACAGACTCCGGGCTCAGCCCCAACAGAGGTCCCGGATACGCATAGAGCTGGGTTGACCAGCGATGACCATGCAGCTGCGGTGCCGGTAGACGAAAGGCACGACCTAACGCCAGCGCAAATCAGAGATGTTGTTCGGCTGATACAATGTCCAATCTGCTCCTTTCCTCTCCAACAGCCCGTCACGCTCCCGTGTGGGAAGACGATATGCAGGTCCTGCATACCTGAGCTGCATTTAAGGACACACGTATCGTACCCGGCCACGCAAAGCAGGGTTCGGGGTTTTCACTGCCCAATTCCCGACTGTGAGAAGGAACATGCTGTCGATGACTGCAGCCCGAACGTCACGCTTGGTAAGGTGATACCGGCGGTCAAGGCGGCGTACCAGAAGGGAAGGGCAGCAGCTCTCAACACTTCGTTATCCACCCACCTTGTCGCCAAGGGTGCGTGGGAGGCCAGCGGTGTGCCATCCATGAGAGACCCGTATTCCGAGGCGCAAGTTCTACCCGGGGGTCGGTTACTGGCAACGTATCTGTTCGCGGACATGGGATACCTGGATTACAATGCCGAGGTTACTTACCTGTCGGCCGATAGTCCGGCCCATGCTGAGCTGGATGCTCAAGTCCTCGCCCAGGTCAAGGAGGTGACGAGGGCTGAGATGGACTGTCAGGTCTGTTACGCGCTGTACTACGATTCTGTCACGACATACTGCGGCCACACATTCTGCCGGGTCTGCTTACAGCGCGTGCTTGACCATGCGCGACACTGTCCCGTCTGTCGACGGCCACTGACCATACAACCGATCACCTACCGAGACACCGTTCCTGAAAATGAGCTGATCAAGCGAATCACGACATATTTCTGGGTGGATATGCTTAAAGATCGCAGAGATCACATACTCGCCGAGGTTTTAGGCAACCAATCCGACGAATACGACACGGCAATCTTTGTTTGTACACTTGCCTTCCCTCTGATGCCCACCTTCCTTCATATATTCGAGCCGAGGTACCGACTCATGATACGTCGGGCTCTGGCTGGAAACAGGACATTCGGCATGGTACTCCACAGCTATCCGGAGCTCAATGAGCTTGGGACACTTCTACGCATCGAAAACTTCGAGTTCTTTCCCGACGGGCGCAGCCTCATCGAGACAATAGGTGTCTCCCGCTTCCGCATCATCCGTCATGGCCAGCTGGACGGATATACCGTTGCCAAGACGGAGCCAATCAACGATATCAGCATAACAGCGGAGGAGGAACTAGAGGCGGAGGAGACTCGGAACTACGTCCACCCTGCCGAGGGCGAGGCTCCCAGGTTTCCGGCCACGGTTGAGGAGATCGAGATCACGCCCACGCAAATCCTGATGGATTTTGCCACGGATTTTGTGAGAAGAATGCAACAACAAGGTGCCGCGTGGCTCACGCAACGGATCCTAACCATCTATGGCGAGTGTCCGCACGATCCGGCCGTATTCTCGTGGTGGTTTGCGAATACTCTCCCGATCAGGGAGACGGAGAAGTATCGGCTGCTCGGAACCACGAGTGTCAGGGAGCGGCTCAAGATTTGTTGTGGCTGGATTGTAGAGTGGGAAACGCCGACTGCTTGGTGAGTCCACCTTGATTTTGTCGCGATGGGGCAGTCTCAGAATGTCGTCTCTACCTCACAGCATGCCCTCTTATTCTCTCATTGCCCTCACAGTTCTCTCTTCTAAAGTCACTGAGGACATCATGACTGATACATGCACACCATTGCTATAGAAATGACAGTGTTGACGGGCCTGCAGGTCTTTGATAGGTGGCTGTGTCGTCTCTTAGCATTCTGGGTCACGTCTCTTTGCCATGATCGAGGACTTGTTACAGAGACTCGATACTCTACACCGTACGGTTGTGTCTCTATGATCACCTTGGAGTGTTGCCGAAGAATGGTTGTGGGTGCTGGGGGCGCCTGCACCACCCATCGGTACGTCCTGGTTATGGTAGCTTGCATTGCTCATAGTTAGATACCTAAGCGTCTTTACACAATCTACTGATATTGACTTAACATGGTGGAAAGGAAAGAGCCTCAGTCTGTTCCTGTTACGGTAATACATATTGCAGCAGCCCAACACCCCCGTTGTCCCTAACATCTAAGGATCCTCCAGTTCCGCAAGCCGGTAAATCCTGCTCTCCTGGTCGTTTTTGTAATCTTCATCCCGCCAGTCGAATTGTTCTATGTCACCGAATGGTGGATCCTCCGAGTACCCGTAGGGGCAGTACTTCCTCTCCCACCACAGCCGCTGGTACTTCCTCTGGTGCCGTTCTGGAAAGTAGACGCAAACCCGTTAGTCAACATTTGGCACATCCTCTTCCTCGACTCCGCAGGGATCTGTTCATGGCCGAACTTACCCAAGTGATGTTTGCCCTTGAGACAGTCCCGGTTGATGCACTTGGTGAATTCCCAGTACCAGGGACCCTTCCTCTCCATCAGACAGAAATCCTCGTAAGGACATCCCTCCAGCTGTTCGTGTATGAGACAACCCGACTGAAACCTTTTGTCAGTCTTGGAGGGTTCTACAAGAAACACAGCAACAACAGCAAGGGGGGAAGACGCACGAAACAAGCCGGGTACCCGTCGAGGAGCTCAATCATGAGCGTTGTCTCTTGTTCTTCGGCGCCGATGACGTTGGGTCGGATGCATTTCGTGCCGTGGGGGAGGATCTTCTTGTACGGCGGTGGTTTCTTCGGCGGAGGCGGTTGTGTCCAGGGCATTCGCATGCCCGGTTTGTCGGGGTGCCAGCCATTTCTGTGAGGAGCCGGGGGAAATGGAGCGAAGACGGGGAGGGGATAGAGGAGGAGGAGGGTAAACGCGAGAGAGGTCGGCCACCACATTTCTGCACGAGTAGGAAAGACACTGTTGATGATGGGTAGGTGTTGTTCTGGCAAGGACGAGGTACGTGATGGTGGTGCGACTCTTCGCAAAGCAGGATTTAAAAGAAGGGCGCGAAGGAGGTCTTTGCTGTCCTGTTCGCCAAGATCTGATCTGATAATGCAGTGTTTCGCATATGAGTCAAGCACCAGGACTGCAGCTTCGACGCCTATTAGGACGGAATGCGCCTGGCCCGACGCCAAGACATGAAACTGTCATTTGTGAGGCTGATATCAGTGTATCGAAGCTATCTGGATGTCAACGACACCAACGAAGGACCCTGGATCTCGCTCACTGGCCCTGGCGCTACCAGTGTCTTCGACGCGATCTGACATACCCACCACTCGCTCATATGCCCATTGAGGCATGGCCGCCCCATGCGCTCTACTTATTTACCTATTCTACATGCTACGCAGTGTATGGTTCTCATCTTTCAACAGAATCATCGCGTGAGTATGCTTTCAGAGAGGTGTATGCAGGAAATACCCTTTGCCACCACAGCCAGATTGAGTCGGCTGCATATCCATACAGATATGGTAGCAGAACCCATACGGGCCGGTTGGATCTCAACAACACTTCAGCGTGTGGACGTCACGAAGGGCTGCATGGCTGCACCGCACGACTCGTGCTGGTGTTCCGTGGTTGCCAAATCTGGCCGACAGCATCAATCAAGCCAGTTTGGCGCAGTGGTAGTCGCGTGTCACTTGTAATGACAAGGTCGCTAGTTCAATCCTGGCAATTGGCAGTTATTCTTTTTGTCGTTTTCTTCTTGTTGCTGAGGCTGTCGAGGTCGTCGTCGTTGGTGAGTGTCGATGGCGGTGGTAGGAGTATCAGACGGGGGATTGCCAGCGAGTTGACATCCAATTCTGCCAAGCATGTCGAAAAGGGGCAAGCGCATATTAGGCTTAGCGTGAAGCGTAACTTACAAGTACATGTTTTTAAGGGAGTTCCAGTTTCGAGACTTGCTAACATCGCTCCTTCTTTATCTATTAACACTACAGCTTATATTCACCAGTAAGCGCGTTGCTTGTTGTTCTGGCCCAACATTGGCATGAGGGTCGGATGAGGTCTAGGCTGATAACCTGAGACGAATGTCATGGTGCGCTGCCAAGATCTTGTAGGGTAGGATGTTCAAGCGAATTGACTCGGGCTTCAGCTTCAGCATAACGTCGGTGGGCCAAATTTGGCGGGATGCCATCATTCCATGTAGCTGAACTCGCCGCAGCAAGGCGACCGAAAGTCCAGCTCCATCATTGGGACGCTTTCCGCGTTATTCATCCACAAGCACTTGCCGCTCAGACATCGACGCATCCTGAAAGCATAATGAAGTCGGCCGCGTATTTTAAAGCATGTATGAGGTCAAGCATAGGTTCAAGGGTGGGTCTCCTGCCTCACTTCGGAAACGGACCTCGTGGTGCATGGGTTCGCCGTTCAAGTTGAGAGCACCCATCCGGCCTGCGTATATCGAGTTCTTCGAGGGTGCTACACGGCCTGGACGAGATAAGCTATGCCTCATCGACCTGTATTTCGTCCAAAGGGAGGTTACAGCCAACACTGAAACAAGGCCGGCTCGCTCAGCCAGCAGCGGCTCAAAAATCCCGGGGTAATTCTACCCAAGCCGGCTTGGCGAAGTTCGCAAGGAACAAGTCAAGTCCGGCCACATCTCGTCATCGACTTGAACACTGTGAAGGAGGTCGTGGACCTTGCTCGCCTATGACGACGGTTTCATGCTCCGCAAGACTGGTTACAGCAACAACAGCAGCAGGAGGAACCCCAGCAGACGAACTTGATTTCACTGATCTTGGTTGAAGTATGATGAAACCAGCCATGCTCTCAATGAAAGTTGATCATGCAAACAACCGACCAGCCTTCCAGACCAGCGTAAGACAGACATGATGAGCCATGATCTGGTGCCCGAAACCTCTGGATATCTGTAGTCTTGACAACTCTCCTTCTCCCGTATGGTATGCAGGTGCGGGCGATCGGGCAGGTGTTCCCGATATATCCTTAGATTGCCATCCGGCGTGGCTGCCCTTCGTCTGATATTGACCTGCACTCCACGCAAGCCAAGAGACTCCCGAGGAAGTTTAAGTTGATTTTTTGCCCGTCACACGACCAGCAAGAGCGGCATCACCTCTGGGCAGTTACGTCGCTTGTCGTATCGTGCATGAATATTCCACCCTCAAAAGAAGCTCCTTCCCCAGATTTTCGGCCACCCTTCTCCTTCCTCTTCACACGGTTTGACCAAAAGTTCCAAGGAATCGAAAGTCGTTGATTCCGACTCCTGTCCTGCTTCACACTACTGTTCTTGTATACAACTTCTTCTTCAGCACAACAGGGGCCCCACCCACATTGGCCTCTCTTTCCTCCACCAAGCTGGCCTTGCACTTCGTTTCCTGTGTCATCCCCCAACCTTGTTGTTATAGTTGCTGTCGAAGCATAATATAGTCGTTATGAGGTATCTTTCCGCACCGAGTCGCCGCAATGGTGCCGCGTCCATCACCCCTATGGAGTTCATCAACGATGATGGTGATGATGGTGGCTATGACGTTGACCTTGCCGTCGCCGCCGAAGCCAATGAGAAGGATATGACGTTCAAGGATGCGCGTCGGGCAGACCTTCGGCTGATCTGGTATTCGCTGGGGTTTTCTGGCACCATCATCATGGAAGGTTATGGCTTGGCGCTCATTACATATCTCTTCTCCTTTTCCGAGTTCAACAAGAACTTCGGCGAATTCGATGAAGCTCAAAACTCCTGGGAGGTGCGTTAGTTCAGGTCTACAGTTCGTGCGCCGTGCTTTGCTGACAGTTCTTAACCAGCTTCCCTATTTGTGGCGAGTGATGCTTCCCCTCGTCGCTCAACTTGGTTCGCTTGTTGGTATCCTCTTGGCCAGCCCTATTGCGACACGGATCGGCTATAAGCGCACCATGCTGACGATGCTCGTTTGCTCCATCATGTTCACCTTCATCCCCTACTTCGCCAAGAATGTCACCTCGCTCATGGCTGGCTTTCTCTTCCTCGGCATGCCCTGGGGCGTCTTCCAGGTCATCAGCCCTGCATATGCCTCCGAGGTGGCATCGATGCAGCTTCGCCCCATCCTCACCACCTGGAACAACCTCTGCTGGGTCTTGGGCCAGCTTATCGCAGCCGGAATAACCAAGGGGTTCGAGACAACCTCTGGTTCCATGTCTTACAAGGTCCCCTTCGCCTTCCAATGGGTATTCTCTGGCCTGCTCCTGATTGCCGTGTCTTTCGCCCCCGAATCGCCGTACTGGTACTTGAAGAAGGGGCGGGTGACAAACGCTCGTCGAGCCATCAAGAAGCTCGTTCGCAAGGGCGATGCTGGCAAGACAGAGGAAAAGCTTGCCTTGATGCGCCATACTATGACTGAAGAAGCTCGCATGAACAAGACCTTCCTCGACGCCGACACACCAGCCCATGGCCCCATCAGGAAGTGGCTCGGAAAGTTTGAGTTGGACTGCTTCAAGGGCGTCGATCGACGACGCACAGAGACATCAAGCATGGCATGGGTCATCCAGGCACTCTGCGGCTCCTCCCTCATTGGATGGGCTCCCAAGCTATTCGAGGCTGCCGGTCTGGGTCAAAGCCAAGCTCTCTCCATCAACATTGCTCTCCCGGCCGCAGGTATTGTCGGCACGCTCTGCTCGTGGTGGCTGATGCGCAAGGTCGGCCGTCGGTCCATCTATCTCTGGGGTTTGGGCGTGATGGCGGTCCTCCTCGGAATGTGCGGCGCTTTCCATTACCTTTCCAAAGGGGGTGGCTGGGCCGCAGGCGGAGTCCTCGTTATCTACACCGCCGTCTACGACCTCACCGTGGGACCCGTCTGTTACTGCGTCGTGTCGGAGCTGCCATCCATCCGCCTCCGTACGCCTACTCTGGCTTTTGCGCGCGCATGCTATCTCTTGGCCAATCTCATCAACTACTGCCTAACCCCTCTGATGCTCGGCAAGGAGGAGCGCTCATGGGACTGGGGTTCCCGCACCGGCTTCCTCTATGCCGCCATTTGTGCCTTGGGCTTTGTATACACCTATTTCCGCATTCCGGAGACAACGGCCATGTCGGCTCGTGAACTAGATGTCCTGTTCCAGAACAAGGCGTCGGCACGCAATTTCTCTAGCGAGGCAGCCGCGTCCCTCTCTGCTGCCACGCCGGTAACAGACGCCAAGTTGGAGACTTCCTCAACCGAGGCGGTAAAATCGGTCGTCAGCAAGTCGTCTACTGATGGCAGAGTACAGGCCAAGCAGGTCGAGAATGTCTCATTGGCTGGGTCGTCGTCCCCTTAAGAAGACGTTATGGCACCTCAAACCTTTGCTGACCCCATGCGGCAGCAGTAGTTGTGTGTCTTCGACTTGGCTCAGAGATAATTACCGATTCATCTTTGTGCCCATCCAGTCTGCTTGGCACTTAATGTAACAACTTCTCATACACCCTTGTGTTGAAATGGGCGAACGAGGATGCTTCCATGGCATCCTATTTTGGATTGAGCTTCATCGGCGTTGCGGCTCTAAAGTTTGGTATAGCCACTTCCGGCGTTGGGTGTCTGGAGAATTGGAAAATGGACAAGGGCCGCCCACAAGCAGCACATTCTCAAGAGAAATTTTGCCTTGTGATAGCACCGGCAGGGAGGGAACACTCGTTGAATGGTCAGGGCGCTACGTTTGATTTGTGGTTTAGAATAAGGATGGCCTTGACGTGTACGAGTTAGCATACGTAGCTGTCTAAGCATCTGACTCAATTTCTTTGAACACCTACCATTTGATGCCAGTGCAATTGTTGCGGTTGTAAGTGGTGAGTAGCATCGTGTGCGCTGCAGGAAGATTCGGCGGATGAATTGAGGCTGGACTTCTGCCTCAAAATGAGACCTGTCAATTCCTGATATCGAGCTTGGGGGAATGTGTTGTAGCTCGTATGACAATCAGATAAGTTGCTGGTACATACGTAGTACCAATGCTTGATATTGGCATTTTGCTTAGGCCAAGCCATGTCTGCGTACCGGACCGGTGACGGCGGCTCTGGAGTAGTCCGATCATGGTTGATCTCAAACACAGTTTTCAACGCCTGTCCCGACCACGATCCCGATCGTATCCTCCGCCGTGTCGATCTCGACTCCTGTCCCGACCATCTCTCGAACTTCTTTCACTGTCTCGTTTTCGCTCTTCCCGTCTTGCCTTCCTCTTCTCTTCTTCCCGCCTGTACTCATCCAGCCTCGGCCGCCTGGGCTTATCACTTCCACTACTCCCACCCTTCGCATTATTCTTCAACTTCTGCTGCCAAGCATCCAACTCGTCTGCGCCTTTGCCTTTAGCCCCGAGTCCAGTCAAGTTGGCATGATGCTTGACTTCTCGTATCTTCCCCCTCATCTTACCATCCCACCCGAACCCCTTCAGTAAATGCGCGCCAAAGTCCTCTATGGGTACTTTGGCATAGTCTTCTGGTTCTGGACTGCGGCCCTCGTCATCCCCGGGGTTACTGTTTGCGAGGAGAGGTTTGCGCTTCTCGCCCAGGAGCGCGGACAGGGCTTCTTCGTCCGCTGATCGTGGGGCAGACTGTTTCTCAGTTGAAGAAGATCTTTGTCCGTTGGCACTATCACGGGGATCCTCTTCTTTTCGCGGCTTCTTATTGACTATAAGACCAAATTGCTCGGTGGGCTCCTTTCTGTCTTCCGGAGTGGATTTATCTAGATCGCTGCTTCGTCGAGTCTCTTTGTCTTTGCGACCTCTGTT